ACTCCTCATGTTGGAGCAAAAACAACCCCTTTCTGGAAAGAAATTGAGCCTCTTTCTCTTAAATGGGGCAGGAGGGATAAGAAGTGACATCCCTGGGCTGGTGAGCTTGGAGAATATTTGGAGACAAGGTTGGTGAACGCAGGGAGACACCGGCTGCGCTGCCGGCACGAAGCTGATGGCTCCAAGGTCAACAGGGATCGGCCAGATGTTCTCACTCCAAAAAAACATGCCCAGGTTGGACACAAACCTCTCCCCACGGTGCAAGAATGTATGAGATTCGGGGCTCCCTGCAGGGAGATGAAAGGAGGAGATGGAAAACAGCAGACACAGGTTGAAGCTCAGCCCAGGCCAGCTGGAAGGAAACCAAAACATGAGTTTCGGCAAGACAAAGCCCCTGAGGAACCTCTGCTCCAGGCTGCCTACCTTCTCTCTCCAGGACAAAAAGAGCTATTCCCTACGCCCACACCTTGTAGATCATAGAATGGTTTGGGTTGGAATGGACCTTAAAGACCATCCAGGGACACCTCCCACCAGCCCATGTTGCTCCAAGCCCCCTCCAACCTGCCCTTGAACCCCTCCAGGGATGGGGCAGCCACAGCTTCTTGGGGCAACCTGGGCCAGGCTCTCACCACCCTCACACCAAAGAAGTCCTTCCCCACATCTCAGCTCCATCTCCCCTCTTTCAGGGTCAAACCCTTCCCCCTCCTCCTAGGGCTCCCCTCCCTGATCCAGAGTCCCTCCCCATCTCTCCTGGAGCCCCTTGAGGTACTGGAAGGGGCTCCAAGGTCTCCCTGGAACCTTCTCTTCTCCAGGCTGAACCCCCCAACTCTCTCAGCCCCCCCCCTCCCAGCAGAGGGGCTCCAGCCCTCCCAGCATCTCCGTGGCCTCCTCTGGCCCCACGTCCTTCCACGTGCTGAAGACTCCAGAGCTGGACACAGCACTCCGGGTGGTAGATAAACCAGGTCCCCACGCTGTCTGTTGTCCCCTTGTCCCCCAAAATCACAGCTCCTCAATTAAGGCAGCTCAAATGGGTCCCACCAACTCCGGGTGGTAGATAAACCAGGTCCCCACGCTGTCTGTTGTCCCCTTGTCCCCCAAAATCACAGCTCCTCAATTAAGGCAGCTCAAATGGGTCCCACCAGGGAGAGCTGGGGGGCTGCAGGAGGCAGCCAAGGGGAAGTTGTCCCCATGACGCCACCTCCGAGGACGGCAGGAACCTCACCCCAATTACAATGCAGCCTGTTTGACGAGCTGGAACATCATGTCCCCGGCCACCTAAGTTCTTTTGGCTGTCACCAACCTGAAGTAAACAGATTCTGCAGCGGCAATAAGCTCGTTACCAAGGCCACCGTATTGATCCCCAAGCGTAATTAAAATTCACAGCTCCAGCAAGCCCAACGCGACAGGGCGAGGGGGGCAGCCTCCGAAAAGCATGAATAGTCCCCCCCCCCACCTTCCCCATCCTGCTTTCTCGGAGGCAGGAAGCCCATGGGGCAAGATCTGCTGCTCAAAAAACCACCCCAGAAGTGGCAAAGCTTTCCCTTTGGACCATCAACAAGTCACCCCAGAGCTCCCCATATCGTGCCCCAACAAGGATTAATCGTGCCATGATGATGCTTAGCCCAAAGTTAGAGAGGGATGGTGGGGACCTTCAGGTTTGGGCACTGTTGGAGGTGGCCAAGTCCCCAGGAATAACAGCCCCTTATAACCCCCAGGGTTCAACTTGGAGAAGAGAAGGCTCCGGGGAGACCTTGGAGCTCCTTCCAGTCCCTCAAGGGGCTCCAGGAGAGATGGGGAGGGACTCTGGATCAGGGAGGGGAGCCCTAGGAGGAGGGGGAAGGGTTTGACCCTGAAAGAGGGGAGATGGAGCTGAGATGTGGGGAAGAACTTGTTTGGTGGGAGGGTGGTGAGAGCCTGGCCCAGGTTGCCCCAAGAAGCTGTGGCTGCCCCATCCCTGGAGGGGTTCAAGGGCAGGTTGGAGGGGGCTTGGAGCAACCTGGGCTGGTGGGAGGTGTCCCTGCCCAGGGCAGGGGGGTTGGAACTTTAATGAGCTTTAAGATCCCTTCCAACTCTAACTACTCTATAATTTGATAAGGGGCTCCCTGCTAAGATGGCAACAAGATGCTCCTCCTTGGTGGGACCCCCTCAACCCTCCTCCAGAAGCCTCCCAGTCCCTCCATTGCTCCAACCCAGGGTCCCATTGAGAGAGAGCAGGGTCACACTGGGCAGAAGTGTTAGCACAAGGTCCTCTGCGCCCGCGACGAGGGCCTGGGGACAGTCACCTCAAACGTCACCACCATCTGCTGAGTGAAGGTGAGTCAGAGTCCTCAGATAAGCAGCCCTGATCAAAGGGCTCAGCAGGAAACACACCGAGCCCTCTGCAAACCCCGACGACAAAAGATGCAGCCAGGGACGAGCAAATCTCTTCACCCCCAGTCCCACACCTTCCCCTGCGTCGGGATAACCAGTTATCCCAAAGGATCAACTCCAACCTGGCCTGGAAGAGCTGGTTTCCAGAGCAAAGTAATTCCAGTCTCAACCTCCAGCACAGGAACAGGCTCCAACATTCACACAGGCTGGAAAACAGGGTGAAAACTGTTGGGGTCCCGAAGAAAGCGTGGTGGTAGGGTGGGTCTTTGCAGAAGATAATCCCTCATTTTGGGAAAGGCTTCAAGAAAACATGGAGTTTCTGCAGATCTGCAGATTGCCCGCGCTCCAGAGCTGGTCGCCCACGTGGGAAGGAGCCTCCCACCAAGCCCAGGGGCTCGCAGGAGAATCAGTGCTGCTCAGGTGGGTGGTCCTCACGCCCACACCATCAACAGATGACACGAGATGCTGCTGAAGACTGCAGAGAATGAAGATCCAGCTCCTTTCCCACTTCCAAAGGCCACAGAGATCAGAGGGGAAACCCAGCCTACCCTCACGGGACTGCAGGAGCAGAAGGGAGAAGCAAGAGCCACACGCCCTGGCACATCGTTTTGTGTCCCTCAGACCCCAAAAAATCTCCCTTCCTCCTGCTCTCCAGTCCAATAACTTAATTAAGCATCTTCTGACCTTGCAGCAGTGCTGGGTCACAAGGACAGGCCTCCCTTCTGGACCTTTGGAGCAAGAAGACGCTTCAAGAAGCCAAAGTGATGAGAAAGACCCAAGAGTGACTTATTATGGAAAATAATTATCATTCTGTCATTTAATACAGCACCACAAGTGACCTGTCCACTCTCAGCCCCCGGGAAATCATCTCTGGTCAAAGCACCCACATGTTTTGCTCTCGTTGTGGGTCGGGGTATGGCCAACTCAACCTGGGACCATCTAACCCAGAATCACAGAATCTTCTAGGTTGGAAGGGACCTTAAAGATAATCTTGTCCAACCGTGAACCTAACTGACAAAAATAGACACCCACACAATAGACAACCCCAGCAATATCTTCATTTTTTGGGCTTTTCCTGCACCCCAGGGAAGGCCAGACCCATCCCAGCTGTTCCACAGGGAGCAGGAGGAGTCGTGGACTCATCCCAGCCCAGGCACCTCATTAGGAGGAGGAGGTAAAACCACAGGGAGAGGAGAGAATGAGAAAGCAAAAGGATGGAGGATTTGGGCAAGGAAGCAGAGACAGTGGAGAGGACGGCGTCTGGCTGAACCATCAGGAGAGGAGATGGTGGCCACTGGCCTGGGCCAGCACCCAAAGGCGGAGAAGGATTTACGAGCACCCAGTTGAAGGGATGAAATTAAAGAAAGAGGGAAAACCAGCAGCTCCAGGCACCCTGTCAGTACAAACAAGGAAAGTCTCGTGTCCCCCCCCGCCCCGACAGACGGCAGGGGAAGGTGGTTTATTAGCACCCGGCCTGGCAGAGCTGCAGGGACCTGAGATGACTTGGGACTAGGGACAAAAAAAACGGGGCAGAAAAGCCGGTCCTGGGATGGGGCAGGGAAGCAGGAGCCTGCAGCAAGGTCAGGCCCGGCTCAGGCAGCGGGAGAGCGGCTCCGCAGGCAGCAAGGGGAGAAATGATGCTTCAGAGACAGCATCCAGCCCTCCCTGGGGTCCCCGGGGGCTCCATCCACCCTCTCCCCAGCTTTTCCCTGCTCCCATCCTCCTGCCAGGGCTTTGGCTCGATCCCCCTGCAGAGCAGCAGCACCAGGCATTAGCATTCCCTGCGGGATTCCTCCGGAGCCGGCATCCGCAGGGGCACGGCATCGACCCCAAAACACCAGCCACAGGCTCCCCAGCTCCTCAGGGGCACAGAGCCCACCCTCCCTGGAAGCAAACGGGGAGGTTTTAACCCATTTCACCACTCCCCAGACGGTGCTGCATGAGTAAGCACATCTGGCTGCAGAGCATCCATCCATCCATCCGTCTGTCTGTCAGCACCCAGGTGTGACACAGCCCACCCCACAGGGACACAGCAGGGAAGTGACAGGCAGGGACAGCACTGTGAACCCCCCCTCCAAGGCCTTGTCACCCATCCTTAAGCACGGTGACGTGTCCTGCCCGCTCCAGGGCACCCACAGCTCGGCTGACGTGGGTTTGGAAACCAACCACCGTCAAGGGCACCTCCAGCCTCCAGGGAGGCAGAAGAGCAGATAGATGCCCAGACACAACGGTGATGGCACAGAGGGATCTGGAAGAGCACAACCCGCCCTTGAGCTCTCCCTTCACCCCCAGCTCCTATTCCCTTGGCCACGGTGTTTCCACCCCCAGCAGCATCAAGGCAGAAGTTTGGAGAAAGCTGAAAGCTCAGCATCGCTCACCTCAGCCCTCAAACCACTCCCCACCCAAAGAACCGCCTCGCTCCGACCAAAGCTGCTGGTATTTTTGCTGACAGCCCCATTTCCCATCAACGGCAGCCAAAAAAAAAAAACAAAGGGAGCTTCGGCAGAGCCAGGCGACCCCAGCTTTTGGGGGAAATCCCCCCATATTTCTGCAGAAAGGCTGCAGCTCTGCTCACCTCGGCTCCTGCTTAAACCTGGAGTTGATCATATTTAATCTCTTAAATCTCTTACCTCCCGCCGTTTCACTTTTTCACCTTCAACAAGTCACTGACAAGAAAGGAAAATAAAGATATCAGCGATTCCCCCCGTGGCTGGTGGCACAGCTCGGGTGCCCCTGATACACCCTGTCGATGGCAAGAAGGATGGATGGATGGATGGATGGATGGCTTCTTCTCAGGACCCCATGGGGGCCAACGTGGCTCCGGAGATGCCCCCCAAGGTGGCCCCGGGGCACCTGGAGGGCTCACACTGGCTCTTCTCCCTGCACGCTGGTCCCCTGTCCCCCAGCACCAGTGAAGGCTCCTCTTCAAAAAGCCACCCACCCGGTGGCAGGTCACACGGAGGAGACGGAGCCTGGCCACGTTCCCACCTTCCCCATCTCCAAACGCCTCACGCAAAGCCCATCAACAAAACCCAAGGAGCCTGAAAACCCAAGGAAGGAGCTGCTTCAGCCAGGATTTGTCCCCCACCATCTCCCCAAAATCATCTCTCTCTCAACCATCTTCTCCCCCCCCGGCCACAGCGAGAGCCAAGAGTCACTTCGACTCGTTTTTTTAAATGCTTTAATTGCCATCCTGCTTTGAAGGCATCTGAGCTGGGAGGGCAGGGGGAAGGGGGGGGAACTCGACATCTTATCTCAGGAGGGCAATTCTCCTTTCTTCCTCCTTTCAGCCTTCTGCCAATGCCTCCACTCTGGGCACCCTTGAATATCCTCACCCAGCCAAGGAACGGCTGCAGCCCCACTGTGGCTCCTCCCGAACGGCACCAAATTCCAGGTGACAGGACATCCCCAAACAGAATCACAGAATCTTCTAGGTTGGAAGGGACCTTAAAGATCATCTTGTCCAACCATCAACCTAACTGACAAAAATAGACACCCACACAACAAACAAGGAGCATCACCATCACTAAACCAGACCTCCCAGCACTACATCAACCCGGCTTTTGAACACCTCCAGGGATGGGGCCTCAACCACCTCCCTGGGCAGCCCATTCCAATGGCTGAGAACCCTTTCAGGGAAAAAATTCTTCCTAATATCCAGCCTGAACCTCCCCTGGGGCAACTTGCCTCAATGTCTTTTTTATGGTGGGGGGCCCAAAACTGGACACAGCACTCAAGGTGAGGCCTCACCAGTGCCCAGTACAGGGGGACAATCACCTCTTGGGCCCTGCTCCCCACACTGTTCCTGACACAGGCCCGGAGACACCAGGAAATTCGGCCTCTGGACCCATTCCCTCAACACGTACATCACAGTTCTTTTTACGACGCATATTTTGGCCCCATAGGATACTTGAGGATCAGTACTTTACTCCCCCTCTCTCAGATCAGCCTCGCGCCGTTAATTCCCCCTCTCTCTGGAAGACGACGGTAACGAGAAGGTGAAAACAACCCGAGAAGGTGAAAACAACCCCTGAGTTTGAGCCACGGCTGGAAGAGGAAGATCCCAGCTCCGCATTCCTCCGCTCCTTCCTCCAGGCTACGTCCACAGCCCGGATAAACAGGGTCGGGGAGCAAGGAGAAGCTCCAGACCCCCTTTTCCCGACGTGAGCCATGGGTCTGAGCGGCTGGAAGGTGGCCAACGAGGAGCAGCCCCTCCACGAGGGTGGGATGCTGCCCTCATCCCACCAGGGGATGGAGGAAGGAAGAAAAAAGGGGGAATATTCCCATTTATTGCGACTTCTCTGCCTCAGCGTGGCAGCAGAAGGCGGCTGCAGACCCCCCCGGGGGGGGAACGGGGGGTTCAGCACAGCAGGGACCCCCGGTCATGGCTTGGGGCCACCGCTTGGCTGGTGGGACCAGGACTTCAATGGGACATTGCCAAGCCCAGCAGCTCCACCAGTCTCCATGAGCTCCCCCCATCCAAATGCCGGTTACCCCCAGTTCACGGAGGTCCTGCACCCCGTTACGGCGACACGGCCAGTGGTCACCCACCCGTGGACCCCCATAAGGCCACCAGCACCCACAAGTGTCCCCCCCCTCCCAGATTTTGGGGAGCAGCAGCGGGAGATCTCAGGAGCTCCTGCGTGAAGGCCATCAAGGATGAAAGGGTGCAGAGATGATTTGGGAGAACCCAGCGCCAGGGGTTCCCCCACCCCAAAGGTGCTCCCCCACCCACACCTCCATC